GTTTAAGCATGCACCTTATACACTGATACCTTGCACGTGTAAACCTGACTCTGACTCTGAGCGCCGCACAGACTGACTCTCATGTATGAAAATAAAGGTGTCTCTTTTAAAGGTTGATGGGCTTTTCCCTGACTCACCTGTGGCCGGTGTGCGCCCCCCCTCGCCTCCACACAGTGCCTCATGTCTCTCTGCAGCTTCAGCATCGCCGGCTGCAGCTTGCTGGCAAACTTTGAGCACTTTTCAAACTCAGAAACTTTCTTGACTGCAGATCTGTAGCTGGAGGAGACGTGCAGCAGCTTCTCCAGACACGTCTGAGGAGAAATCAGGGCAAGACAAATGCTCAATGATATATAATGCAGGGGAACTGCTGAGCCAGAGATTGCACAAAAATGACCACCACATGAGTGTTAAAAGCAATGTAGCAAAATATATCAAGTGGAGTGAGAGAGCAGCAATGTTTAAAATAGGACACATTATAAATACATGCCTAAAACTATGTTATAATAAAAAAATACAACGAATATTGAGAACATAATAAATCATACCAACACTAATAACTCTCTTCTTAAAAGAGACATAACAAAAGCTTTAATCTGTGGGTGAAATGTTAAAGTGAATTTAATGTGATTTTAAAGTGAATTTAATGTGATTTTAAAGTGATTTTAATATGTACCACAGGATTGTGTTTGAGGGTCTCGGGGTCGCACAAGTCCTTCGTCTCGATCCAAGCGAGATCGCTGGTGAAATCATCGATGTTGTTGGATCCATTTCGTGCCTATAAAATAATATCAAAACATTTAATAAATGTCACATTATTTAAACATAAACATCATGAGATCAGCTTTAAATGAAGTCCTTCCTTATGTGTGTAGTTCATTAACTTCTACTTCTACTATGAAGCACCTTTTGAAGCATCGTGCTGAACATGTAAGTTTGTAAGACTGGATATTACAAATTTAATAAATGAATAAAATGTTAAAATATAAATAAAGGTCAATAGAACAAACACAAAATATAACAAGCATTTTTTACTTTGAACAAAAATTACTTCAATAAAATATTTGAAATAGATCAAATTCACAATTGTGTGAAAACTCAAATGTGTTAGCCAAAAATCTGCCAAATCAGCATTTAAACAATATTATCAAAATTCTTATTTAATTGCGATGACAAGCGTGCTTTAATATAAGGATAATAATATTCCTAATATTCCTGAAAACTAAAATAAATAAAATCAACAGGTTGTGTGTTGAAGTTCTTTGGGTGTCTTTTGCGTAAATAATAATAATAATTGATAAATAAATTAAACACAAAAATAATAGCTTGTGCCTGTTATCTAGGTGTATTCTGCATTCTTAATAATGGTAGTTAAATGTCTCACCTCTCTGGCCGCAATCCTCGCGAGCTGGTTGAGCTGCAGGCTGCTGTTCCGCACCGCGAGGCACGGCTCCTTGTGCACCGAGTGGCCGATAGGAGAGCCCCGAGCGGCGGCCACGAGGAGCCAGAGCACGGCGGAGAAACACAGCATCATCTTCATCATGGTGAGTGTTATTCTTATTGATGTCAGAGATGTGTGTGCTGGGAGTCTCTGAGAGTGTGAGGATGATCTGTGTGTTGAGGAGCTTATAAAGGAATAGCAGGGGGTTTTGAAAAAGGTAAATACATATTCAGAGAGCTCCACGTGCGGGAGAGCCCTGCTCGCAGCATTACATCACCGCTACCTGTCCGGAAACACCTGGAGGACACTCAGCTGGTATCACTCACAGGAAAGCCCTGCACTCATACATTACATTATGAATCAACCAGTTTAGTAACCTTTTAAACCAGGACGTTTTATATTCATTTCACTTTCCATTTTTATATATGTATAAATACATACAAATAATACGAATTTGTAATAATGATATACATTATAATAATAATAACACATTACTTTTTAGATAAATAGTTCCCCAAAACTGCAAAAAGAATTAATAAAAATAATAATACATTGAAATAAAAGCTTTCTGCAGTAATTATATTTGAGATGTTAGAGATTATAGAGATGAATCTAAATTATATATTAGTAGCTTTAATGACTCATTGCTCTTATCTTTAATTAAATACACTCATCATCTGAAAACAGCAGAGAGCCTGTGTGTTGCTGTGACTCTGAACGAACCGGCTGCTTCCTATCAGGTTTCACATCTGGGGTCAGAGGAAGTGAGATTGACCTTTACCTCTCTGGAGAAACAGCTGGACAAAGTTCCCAGAGCGTCTGCTTCTGTACCAGAGAAGCACTGAGCACACAGGCTGCGTGTCTGACTGGGAAAGCAGGAGACATGTCCAGCTTCCTTAATCTGTCCCAAGCATGGACACCGTGGTCATGTTGCAAAGAACCCACAACACACACACAGATGTATTATTCATTAAGTTAAGGTATGGGTAAAAGTGAACAGATACTGACGGATCTTAATTTTTTTATTTAATTGTGAAATTAATATTTAATTTACTATTTTTATTTTTTATTGAATGTATTAATTATTATTTAATTTACTACAGTTGATACATTTGTTATGTTATTTCTTTTAAATTATTTAATGGATTGTATTAAATAGTTCTTTATTTAGTAAATCATGCATTATTATTATGCTTATTGTTATTGTTATTGTTATTATTATTATTATTTATTATTATTATGTATTATTATGTATTATTATTTTTTATTAATTTAGGAGAGCTGGAGCTTTTTTATCCATATGAGTAAGAGGCTGTAAACAATGAGGTCATTGAGTGACGAGTAAAATGACGACACCAGAAACCAGGTGATATTTAGATAATCAATGTTATCTGATGTGTAAGATTAACCCTTTACTGGTTTGGGTTTTAAGATAAGACACGTCCAGTTACTGCTGAAGGGAAAGTGCTCTGACAGTAAATTAGAAAAGGGAAGCACTGATTGCAGATCTGTGACAGGAAACATATTTAAATATAAACATTTAATTTGCACTTAATTCCTAAAATACTGCAGATGTTACACGTCTTTATGACTTCTCTTCTAATCTATTGTAATCTAATAATACAATTAAAAATATTAGAATTGGATCAGAATGATGAATAAAAGCAGATAATAAAACAAACATTGAAGTAGGATACATTTAACAGTTCTGCTGGTCCCTGAAGGCAGCATCTCCCTGATTCTGCTGGTCCCTGAAGGCAGCATCTCCCTGGCTCTGCTGGTCCCTGAAGGCAGCATCTCCCTGGTCCTGCTGGTCCCTGAAGGCAGCATCTCTCTGGTCTGGCTGGTCCCTGAAGGCAGCATCTCCCTGGTCCTGCTGGTCCCTGAAGGCAGCATCTCCCTGGTTCTGCTGGTCCCTGAAGGCAGCATCTCCCTGGTTCTGCTGGTCCCTGAAGGCAGCATCTCCCTGGTTCTGCTGGTCCCTGAAGGCAGCATCTCCCTGGTCCTGCTGGTCCCTGAAGGCAGCATCTCCCTGGTCCTGCTGGTCCCTGAAGGCAGCATCTCCCTGGTTCTGCTGGTCCCTGAAGGCAGCATCTCCCTGCTCCTGCTGGTCCCTGAAGGCAGCATCTCCCTGGTTCTGCTGGTCCCTGAAGGCAGCATCTCCCTGGTTCTGCTGGTCCCTGAAGGCAGCATCTCCCTGGTTCGGCTGGTCCCTGAAGGCAGCATCTCCCTGGTTCGGCTGGTCCCTGAAGGCAGCATCTCCCTGGTCCTTCTGGTCCCTGAAGGCAGCATCTCTCTGGTTCTGTTGGTCCCTGAAGGCAGCATCTCTCTGGTCCTTCTGGTCCCTGAAGGCAGCATCTCCCTGGTTCTGCTGGTCCCTGAAGGCAGCATCTCCCTGGTCCTGCTGGTCCCTGAAGGCACACACACACGCACACACACACACACACACACACACACACACACACACGCACACACACACACACACACACACACGCACACACACACACACACACACACACACACACACACACGCACACACACACGCACACACACACACACACACACACACACACACACACACACACACACACACACACACACACACACACACAAATCTGAATAATACAATAAAATACGTGGGGATTAACTCATACTAAATAAGAAAACTAAAGCCCAAACAAAACAACCAATAACTTGAGTTAAATCATAATGATATGTCATGTGAAGTGCATTTTTCAGGCATACTCCACTCACAGTCCTGTTAAAATATTAAATATGTAATAGTCTCACAGTGTTTACCTCTACCTGCTGCTTTCAAGAGACTCCCAGGTGTTTACCAACAACATGTAGTAACACAAACAGATCAATACAAACACACCCTGGCCCTTTCTCAATTCTCTAATTCCAAATTAATTTACTCGCTCGGTGAGTTCACTGGTTCCCCTGCAGCCGCTGAAAACACAGAAACATTCCTCTTGTATTATTATATTGTATTTTATCACCTGTTTTATTACGCTTCAGGAGATTCTCTCAAAAGCCCACCTTGCCCGGTCGGTCACATGCAGTTCTGTATTATGGCTGAAAGAACATTGAATGTGCTGGAAAGCATCCTGTCTTTGTTTCGTGTAAGCTGAAGTAAATTAAAGTAATATTCAGTTATTACATTATAGGCGTAATATCATGGTATGTTCTAATCACGTATTTGGTACATCTACGAGCACCTTTATCATGTATTTTTAATGCATTTCAACATTTGTATATAGCACTTTACCAGTTCATTTTTATCATTTATTTACTGTCACTTTTAATCACCTTGAATTTGCATTACTTCAAGCCTACCATAGCGAGTGCGTTCAGGTTCACACTTACGTGGTCGTAAAAGCAAGTTCTAATTCAAACTGTGTTCAAATATCTACCTCTAAAGTCTTATAAAGTGGAAGAAGATACTGTTATAAAATGGAAGGCCTAAATGAATACAAAAATAACACAAAAGTTCAATCAATACATTGTTTTTTAACTGAAACCTAGAAACACTGCGGGTCTTGAACGCACCACTGTTTGACCCGGAAGCGCTTTTTTGTTGTTATTGTTTTTGTGAATGAAGCATGGGCTCCTGTGCGGGAAATAAGAATCAGATCCCAATAAGAGGTCGGTGCAAACTTTATATTCATATGTACAATCTCTCAGTATTCTTTGTTAGCATACTCTCCCGGAATGTGAACGTTTGAGGCGCAAAAACGGATCAAATCTGCAGCAACAACTGTCTGTCCGATGCTAACGTTAGCTTAAAATGCTAACTGTTAACAGTAACTTATTTACTGATACATATATTAATTAAAAGCCTCTAACTGACGTGATTTGGAAAACCATAGCTACATGATTAGTGGTATGTACATGCTTCAATATTGAATACATTAACTATATCTTTGGAGGATTTAGCTAACAGTTAGCAGTAACGTTAGCTTCCGGTGCTAGCTACTGTTAGCCTAGCCAAAGCTAACAATACAACCAATTAAAAACAGTGAAAAGTAATCTGTCTTTTTATCAGACATTTCATAACCCTGTTAAAGTGGCTTTACAGACCAATTCAACAGAGTTACAGTCAAGATAAAAACAACACAATATTATTATAATACTCCAGTTATTATAAATTAAGAAGTACATAGAAAATAATATTTGTATTTGTAATATACTTGCAATTTCAAACACTTATTTCTCAGCATTATTGTTGCTTTCTTTGGACTTTGACTTGATGTCATGGTGCATACATACAAGTGAAACAAACATTTAAAAACACAGGTAGAGAACTATTTAAGAGAACTATAATAACATTAAAAAATATATTAAAATAGAGCAACATATAGCACTTATTTACATAGAAATAGAATGGAATATAATATGGATTAAAATTCAGCAGTAATAATAAAAAAATAAAACAGATTGTGTAGCTTGTGTGCATATGACAATAACACCTTTGAATGTGGTCTCTCCCCTGCAGGACAGACTAAGCTGCACTCACTATACATTACAAGTTCAGTTTGTTAAGTAATCGAGCTGGATTTCTTAACATATTTACATCGTAGATGCATGTTTTTAATGATCTGTGCCTATATGATATTGTACTGCAGTTGTAAATGAGCCTGAAAATCTACATCTGGCACATTTATTAAAATGATAATGGTCATGTTTTTTAATGTGGGTTGACCCTTTGCGTTTCTAGCACTGACAGGTCTTTTTGCACTACTTTTACTTTTGTATTTGCTATTTTTGTATTCTATTATATATGTTGCGTTGTTGGAGGAAGGTCAGAAGAATTTCAAAAACATATTGTGTAGCTATGTGCACCTGAACTTTTGAAAGAACATCCATAACATTCACCTGTTTGCAACTTATACATATCAATATTCCAATTACTTGTATATAGACTATTCTGCACTATTTCTATTATATTCTTAAAGTCAAAGTCTACTTTAATGTCAATCTCAAAATATGTTTGTACACACAGAAAGATCAAAAATAATGTTAAAGTCCCAGGGGTGGAGAGGTGAGATAGAGAGGTGAGACAGAGAGGGGAGATATATGTACACTGTAGCTATGTTCAAATGACAATAAGTCCTTTACATTTGATTTGCTCTCTCCCCTGCAGGATAGATTAATCTGCACTCATGATGAACTTTGACACCATGGACCCCTCGATGGGGGACTATCCTCCCCTGGACGGGGGCATGGAGCCCTCCATGGACCCCCACCTGAACCCCGGTCTCCTGCAGGACCTGGACGCCGAGGGCCTGCCGGTGCCCGGGTCAGAGCTCCTGATGGAGGGCATGTTCTCCGAGCTGCACAGCGCCGTGTCGGAGGGCGGCGTTCCCGTCACCGCCGCGCACTTTGACCTCCAGGAGGAGATGCTGTGGACGGGGAACCACAGGGTGAGAACGTTCTGCCGTTACAGAGGAATACAGGTTCTAGTTCCATGGAAAATGGGAATGCAGAATATACTTTGAAGGGAGTTCAGTCAGACAACTCACGTGTTTCTTAATATGTTTATTAGAAGCAGCATATAGTTTGAGTTTGGCGTCTAGGCTCGGGGCCTCATCACTCCACAGATTTACAAAGAACATTGAGTGATGATTAGATAACTATCCCTGGGGTGGTGGTGGGGCAGGCGAGCAGCAGCAACATGAAACACAGCAGCAGCAACATGAACGTAGCAATAGCAAGTGAACACAGCAGTGGCAGCAGCAGCATAGCGAGGCAGAGGCAGGACGACCTGGCAGCTTATTATAGAGCGGCATGTTTAGGAGAATGTGATTGGTTGGTTGTTAGAGGGACGAGGTGCGTCACGTGGTAATGTATCATTGGTGCTCGAGTTGACTGCCTGAACTAGCTCGCAGGCTTCGCCCCATTTATGGTTTGTTTTGAAGCAGAATAACAGGAATAATAAATAACATGTTGGAGCAGATGGGAATCACAGAGTAAGAATGTTCTACCGTTACAGAGGAATACAGTTTTCTAGTTCGATGGAAATGCAGAAATACTTTGTTTTTAAGCAGAATAACAGAGAAAAACGACTTGCATGTAAATAATGAAACGTGGTACAAGGGTTGAGCTCGGGGAAAGGATTAATACATAACATTTTGGAGCAGATGGGAATGTTCCACAATGACAGAGAAATACAGAGTGTTCGCTACTTCCAGTTCAATAGAAATGGAAATGCAGAAATATTTTGTCTTTCCTCTTTCCTCAAAATAAGTTATGGTTTGTTGTAAAGCAGGAATCTGTGTGTGTGTGTGTTGTGTGTGGTGTGTGTGTGGTGTGTGTGTGTGTGTGTGTGTGTGGTGTGGTGTGGTGTGTGTTGTGTGTGTGGTGTGTGTGTGGTGTGTGTGTGTGTGTGTGTCGTGTGTGTTTGGTTTGTGTGGTGTGTGTGTGTGTGTGTGGTGTGTGTGTGTGTGTGTGTGTGTGTGTGTGTGTGTGTGTGTGTGTGTGTGTGTGTGTGTGTGTGTGTGTCCAAGGGGTTGAGCTTGGGAAAAAGAATAATGAATACAATTTTGCAGACGTTGGGAATCACAGAGTAAGGATATTCCAGAATGACAGAGAAACACAGATCGTTTGCTGCTTCCACTTCGATGGAAATGCAGAAATACTTCCTCTTTCCTCAAAGGAAGTGACCGGATGTTTTGCTGTGAAGCAGAATTACAGAAACGACTAGCCTGATAACGAGCGGTTAGCTTTGGCCAAGGGACAGTAAATAACATTTAAGAGCAGACGGGAACCACTTCCTTTTATTACAGAAACGTGTTACAGGAATGACCAGGTGACAAAGAAAACCGACTGATCAACGCTTCAAATTAAAAGCATCTGAAATGGTTCGAAATATGTAAAAATATAAAATAACTTATTGCATAATATTGTCCAAAATGCTTCAAATGAGTCCATCCATATACATTGGGATTTGTACAGTAAATACTAAAGGGGGTATTCATGTTGAACATCTATTGATCAAATATAAAAAAGTACTTATCGTAGGACTTGATAAATACTAACGTGTTTTTACTCTTTCTTAATATTTCTCTTCAGGGTCACGTGACCTCGTTCTTCGGACCCACGATGGTTCGCCACTCTTCGTTCCAGGCGAACGCGGCCGACGACATCCGTCAGATCCACAGCCTGGAGACGGGGGTCCTGTTCCTGTCCAAGTGCAACCTGAAGTGCCACACCCGGGGGGGGCTCGTCATGTTCGACTACCCGTGAGTAGAGACTGTGAGATCTGAGGGTCTGAGAGAGGGGGTTAACTCCTCTGCAGGGATCTGTCAGCGTTGCACAGATGCTGTGGAAGCAATGTCTATTTTTGAAATTGAATTTGTTTAAATTATTTTTTTATGTATTATATTGTTTTCATTATTTATTTATAATTATATGATTATTTTTTACTATTTTTTTAACTTTTAAATAATTGTTGAACTTTTTTTTTTAACTGATTTTAGTATTTTATTACGTTATTTTTCTGACGTTATTTTTTTTGACGTTATTTTGTTTGTTTGTTTGTTTATAATTATTGATGTGTGTGGGTGTAGCTTTTTTTGTACTTTTTTAATAATTGTTGAACTCATTTTTTTAAATTCATTTTAGTATTTTTTCGTTTGTTTTTTCGTTTTCTTTTCAAAGTATTTTTTTTAACTTTTTTAAATGTATTTTACTCTTTGTATTTCTTTATTTGATATTCATGTTTGTCCTAGTGGTTTTTAATGTGCTGTAGCCCGCGGTACTTTGTCTTAGAGTAGAGATGTGAGATCTGAGGGTCTGAGAGAGGGGGATCCACGCAGGGATCTGGAAGCAACATCTGTTTTTATAAATGAAAATAATTATTGTGTGTGTGTGTGTGTGTGTGTGTGTGTGTGTGTGTGTGTGTGTGTGTGTGTGTGTGTGTGTGTGTGTGTGTGTGTGTGTGTGTGTGTGTGTGTGTGTGTGTGTGTGTGTGTGTGTGTGTGTGTGTGTGTGTGTGTGTGTGTGTGTGTGTGTGTGTGTGTGTGTGTGTGTGTGTGTGTGTGTGTGTGTGTGTGTGTGTGTGTGTGTGTGTGTGTGTGTGTGTGTGTGTGTGTGTGTGTGTGTGTGTGTGTGTGTGTGTGTGTGTGTGTGTGTGTGTGTAGGATGGATGAGGGTGCTGATATGCACAGTCTCCTGATGACTGATAACAACACGGTGCTGATGGGAGGATTGCAGAACTACGCCGTGGAGTTCGACCTGAACGCCATGCAGGAAACTCAGAAGGTGACACATTATTAATATATATATTATACACACAGTTTGCAAGAAAACTACCTACATTTTATAATGTGCACATTGTACTCAAACTTCTTTACAATTTATTGCACATTTCTACTTAATTTTTTTATTTTTATGGACATTTTTTATTTGTATTATTTATTGCACATTTATACAAATATATATATTATTTCTAAGTGGACTCATCTTGTGCTCTGTGTCTCTGTTTCTCAGTTTAACGTGGAGGTTCCTGGAGTCGCTATAATGCGCCAAACTGGTCGATTCTTCTTCTGTGGTCACACCTCTGGAAAGGTAAGCGCCACACGTATTGTGTTTAAGTACTTTTTTTTACATACTTTTACTTAAATTGAGTATTTCCATTTTGTGCTGCTTCTAATCCACTGCATTTTGTATATGATGCAGTACTGTACCAGGTTTTTTAAAAAGCATCTAAAACATCGACAAACTACAACATTAAAAAGCCTTTTCATGTATTTGTAATCAATCAAAACACACTCATCTAATATTCCACAATAATCTAATTCTTTGAAAAGCTAATGTGCATAATGACCTAACTCTCCCCTAACCCCAAATCAGATCACTCTGCGGGATCTGCGCAGCTTCAAGACGGAGCACGAGTTCGACGCGTTCTCCGGCAGCCTGTCGGACTTCGACGTGCACGGGAACCTCCTGGCAGCGTGCGGGTTCTCCAGCCGAGGGATGAACGGCCTGGCCTGCGACCGCTTCCTCATGGTGTTCGACCTGCGCATGATGAGGGCCGTGACCCCGCTGCAGGTGCACGTCGACCCCCTGTTCCTGCGCTTCATCCCCACGTACACCTCCCGCCTCGCCATCATCTCACAGACAGGTAACGTCTCTAAAGAAGCTTCGTTTGTGAAATGCACAAAAACACAGAGTAGACAATAACAACTAAATAAATAGAAATTAAAGTAATACAATAAAGAATAATTAAATAATCAAAAAGTTCACAAAAATACAATAAAATATATAGAAAAATATTAATGAGTGAAATAAAAAAACACAAAAAATATAAATAAACAGTATATCCTATCTTATTAAATAGCCTGTAACCCCCCCTCCCTTCTTCCTGTCTGCAGGTCAGTGTCAGTTCTGCGAGCCCACCGGCCTGGCCAACATGGCGGACATCTTCCACGTGAACGCGGGCGGCCAGGTGCTGATGAGCTTCGACGTGTCGTCCAGTAAGCAGGCGCTGGCGTTCGGGGACTCGGGGGGGATCGTGCACCTCTGGTCCGACGCCCCCGAGGTCTCCTTCAACGACTACAGCCGCGAGTCAGAGTTCGCTCTGCCGTGCATCGTGGACTCGCTGCCGCAGCTCGACTGGAACCACGACCTGCTGCCGCTGTCACTCATCCCCACGCCGCTCACCAGCACTGAGCAGCTGCTTTCTGATTGGTCCAGCGCCATGGCCACGCCCAGCCCCAGGTAACACACAACACACCTGTTTGCATCCACCTCAAATGGGATAAAAAATGTTTCATAAATAACAAGTGAAGGATAACTTTGGGATTGATAGAAACACTTAAAACCAACAGAAATCAATCAAATAAAAAAAAGTAAATAAAGGAATGAAATAAGAATAAAAATTACAATAAAAATTAAGAATACCAAAAAAAATAGAATAAATTATACCAGCGCTGAGCAGCTGCTCTCTGATTGGTCCAATGCCATGGCCACGCCCACCCCGAGGTAACACACCTGGATACATCCACCTCAAATGGGTTCAAAAATGTTTAATAAAGTTATCTTTTACTCAAATTAAATAAGAATGGGAATTAGAATACAACTTAAGAATACAATTTAAAAAAGGAATAAATAATAAAAATAGAATAAAATAAAAAATAAGAATACAAAAAAACATAAGAAATAGAATAAATTATACCAGCGCTGAGAAGCTGCTCTCTGATTGGTCCAACGCCATGGCCACGCTCAGCCCCAGGTAACACACAACACACACCTGTGTGCATCCACCTTAAAATAAGAAAAATAATGAGGAACTTCCTTTGAGAACCTCGGCCAATAGGAAATCATTATTTTGCAATTGTCATGTTTTAATCAAGTTCGATTATGATTTTGAGCTAGGGAGAAGTTATTTTGAGATACAAAGTATTACAAAATATATTTTAACTTTAGTTTTGGCATCAATTGCATTGTGTGGAGCTAGGGGTCAGGGGTCAAGTAAAGGATCACTTTGGGTTTGATAGAAACACTTAAAACCAACAGAAGTCAATACAACAACAAAAAGGAATGAAATAAGAATAGAAATACAAAATAATAATAATTAAGAAATAATACAAATAGAATAAAAAAAGCCACGTTAGCACCTCTGTGTAATTGTATCTATTTATCTGACATTAATCTTCCATGAATGCAGCGCACGGTTTGAAACTGGAAATCATCCCCAGAGCTCCAGATCTGTTCCCAGCTGATTCACCTTGAACTTCCTGCTTTTTTAGGAAATGACTTTGTTAGAAATGAAACTAGATGTGTGTGAGGTTAGAGATGTACGTCTTCAGGAGGAGCGCAGGGACTGAGAGCTGCAGGGAAAAGGAGAAGTTGGAAAGTATTGAGAGGCGGCCGTTACGTTTGGTGACAGAAGAAGCAGGAAATAAAGAATAATAATACAATAATGACTTCACACAGAACACACAGCGAAGCCATCGGGAGGAACTTTTGCATTTCTCTTTTTTCTGCAGCCGTGGATTTCTCATTAATAAAAACCTGATGCTGCAACAGCTGAGTTCCCCCCCCCCCGAGGGTCAACAAAGGGTTTCAAATTCTCTCGAAGTGATGTCAGGGATTTACTTCAGGTCACGTTTGAGTCACACGTGGAACAACGTGAACTCCGTCTGACCCGCAGAGCAAACGTTGCATCATTTCTTATTTGGTCTGAGTTTCAATTGGGTTATTTATTTTAGGGTTTTTTGTTCACTAATAATAATGTCATTATACATGTTCAATGAGAGAAAGAAAAGCTGCTCCCTTTTAAAAGGTGCCATCAAAACAAAAACATCACAACATACGACAACAACAATTTCCCAATTTGGGATCAATAAAGTACCATCTATCTATCTATCTATCTATCTATCTATCTATCTATCTATCTATCTATCTATCCATCTATCCATCTATCCATCTATCCATCTATCCATCTATCCATCCATCCATCCATCCATCCATCCATCCATCCATCCCCCCCCCCTCTCTCTCTATCTATCTATCTATCTATCTATCACACGCAGCATACACACTTAGGAATAAGGAATAAAGTGCAGTCATTATTTCCAGGGGTATACAAAATCAAATGTAATAAATAATAAGGTATGTATTTATAATAATGATATATATGTATATATGTACAGAGTCACGTGTATTGCACATGGCGGATGATTAAGGGGTATGAGTTCAGGAGTTCAGTGCAATGATGGCTCTTGGGAAAAAGCTGTCTTTGAGTCTGTGGGTGTTTCTCAATGTCGAGGAAGGCTGCTCCAGAGCCACTATTTCAAGGAAGCGCCCTCGACATTGAGAAACACCCTGGGTGTAAGGCGGGGCCTCTCGACGCTTGCTTGGTAGCACATGTCTTCCGAGTCACTTGCTTCAGAAGCGAGGCAAGAATCCTTCCTGGCATTCGGAAAACGAAGAGTGGAACACGCTAGCAAGTGTGCAGGTGTGCATCATATGAGAGGCCCCGCCCCTTACATCTTCCGCCACAGATTTGGGGAAATTGGTCCGTACGCAAAGCATTGTGGGGATTTTAAGACCGCGGAGTCTACTCATGTGCAGCCTCGATATTTCTCCAAACGGAGTACGCCGGGCTCGGTAGATTTCCAAGTATACTGGAGATTGGAACAGTACTTCGGCGGCACTCGATGACGTAGTATGCTTGAAATAGTGGCTCTGAAGCAGCTTTACTCGACATTGAGAAACACCCCCTGTTTGTTTTGGATTGTACCTGTAGCGCCCCCCGGAGGGCAGCAGGTCGAACAGGTGAAGGCCGGGGTGTGAACTGTCCTCGTCTTTGGCTCTTCTGAGGGGGAGGTGTCCATCAGGGAGGGGAGAGGGCAGCCCATGATCCGAAATAATGATATTGCAAGTTAGAAAACGTAAGATGCATTTTGACAGACAAGACGCACACTTTGGGGAAAAAGACCCTGCATTCTGAAAGTCCGATAGTCCACCATTAACACCTCAGTCTCGTCTCGTCAACGAAAACTAAATATACATTTCGTCATAGTTTTTATCATCAAGAATCTATCGAAGTGCAGACGCTGCTGGGCCGACTGGATGACGGTGTTTGGACCGAATACATGTATTTAAGTTTGAATGTCGTGGCTATGAGATCAAAACATGGTAAGAAGTAACAAGTAGAGCATAACTTTGGGATTGATAGAAACACTTAAAACCAACGGAGGTCAATACAAATACAAACAAATATATAATAAGAAGAACATTTGAATAAAAATGAAGAATAAAATATAGAATAAAATATAAAATAGCATAAAATAATATGAAACCAAACAAAAATTAAATAAAATAATAAATATAATAAATTAAGAATAGAAAAATAAGAATACAAATTGAATAAAATACAAAATAAATAAAACATGTATAAAACATATATATTAAATACTAACAATTTAAAACCAAATAAAAAAGGTCCTTCTGAGCTCACTCTTCAAAGCAAACACACTTTATTAAATCATATTTTAGGAGCACAGGTCCTTTAAATGTTAAAAGAGCCTGCACATTAAAACTGCTTAAATTATCAAATTTAAAATCCTAAAATGTTCCTAATGAAGTTTTAAATGTCTCTTTCTGTCCCCAGACGAGCTCCTCCTGTGGACCCGGAGATCCTCCGCACCATGAAGACCGTGGGGTTCATCGGATACGCAGCGAACCCCCGGACACGCCCTCGCAACCAGGCAAGAGGAGAACACACCGCGTAGATCTGACGCTACGAAGCAACAACATTTAGAAACAAATAAAAGCCATAAGGGTTTTTAATATATTATCATTATTTTATAAATACTAAGACATTTTTTAAGGAATTCTTTTGAGATATTATAAAATTATTTTAAAAATATGAATTGATTAATTTGAGAAACTAGGTCTATTTAAAGGGGACCTATCATGCAAAATGCACTTGTGTACGTCTTTTCTACATGAATATGTGTCCCCGGTGTTCCAGGGAACTCACCAAGTGTCAGAAAACACAACCCTCTCTATTTTCCTCCATACCCAAATCTCTAAAAAAGGGGCTGCAACGGATCTGATAAAAACTGATCCAGATTTGAACACTGTCCTGACGTCAGGACGGTGGCGCTACGGCTATTGGGCCAACTCCACCAATCAGGAGGAGACAGCCACGGCCATTGCCGTTCGAAAGCGCTGGAGACGCTGTAGTACATATGCCAGGCCTGTAGATGGTGCTGTTCTCACTGAATCAGCCCTTGCTAAAACAGAGCTAGAAATTGTCAAATTGAGCAAAATGAGGCATGGCTAAAATGCATGATCTGTTTGGTATTTTGAATATAAATATGCCTTATATAGGTATGGTCCTACACTATATTATTATAATATAACATGATAGGTCCACTTTAAGTCATTAATATGGGACACGTAAATACAGCAACATTTTCTCAAATTTTACATTTTATATGTATGTTTTTGAATAAACTTAATACTTATGTTTCATTCTATAAACCAATGTATCCCAGATTCCAATTACAAATATTGTCATTTAGATAATTGATATGATTGATATGCAGAACTGCTGTGAGGTGTGAGAGATGTAAAGAGGATGCCAACACGTTACGAAGCTTTGATTGTAACGCTGCTCTTTTTTTAAACGCATCCCTATAAAATGTAGAACTAGGTTTCTTCATTTTAGTCATATTTGGTGTTTTCCAGGTTCCTTACAAGCTGAGAGACGTGGAGCTGGATTACGACAACTACAACCAGGTCCCCGAGTCTCCCATCGGACGAGACGAGGAGCCGCACCTCTACATGGTGCCCAAGAAGTACCGCAAGGTGGGACCTCTTCTTCATGTCTCTTCTACATCAACATGTGTCCCCTCTTCTTCATGTCTCTTCTACATCAACATGTGTCCCCTCTTCTTCATGTCTCTTCTTCATCAACATGTGTCCCCTCTGTGTAAAGAGACTCTGAAAGTTTCAGGAACAAAGATTCTCTCTCTTTTTGATCCATTTCTATAAAAACCTGTCTGAAAATGAGCTGATCAGATTTTGGCCACTTGATGATGTCATAATGATGTGTTGTCTTGTGTAGCCATTAGCCAATCAGCAACCAAGGTACCCCCCCCCCCCCCCCCCCCCCCCTTATCACCTGAATCTCCTCCTAGAGCACCATTGAGTTCTTTGTAACCAAATCTCTCTCAGAGGGGTGTGGGGAGGGGCTCCTTATTTTCATCTAAAGTAACAGACAGAGAATCAGCACTTTGGAAACAGGGCTGAAACAGAGGGGATTATGGGTAATGCTGCAATGATCTGTTTGGTGTTTCAGCCAATCAGAGACAGGCTCTGGATATATCTGGACCTGTGATATATTGATGAAGAAGAGGATGATAGGGGACCTTTAAACAAAAAAGTCTCTTGTGAGTCTCTGGGTTTAATGGACCTGCATATTGGGATCTGTGTACTTCAGGAAACTATACACATGAACTGTATCCAGTTAGTTAGATATGAACTGGATATAGGTCGGAGCTGCCATGCTGCCTGTGCCCTTCATTACCTTCACTACTACTTTTCCTTTTTCTCTAAATGCGTGCCATGCATTCAGAAGTCAGCGCGTCACCTGCACGCCTTGCAGTTGTGCAGGTTTAAATATAGAACAAGGAGTTGGTCCGCCGCACGTCACGCGTCTTTTGTCCGTTTATTTAGCGCCATGTAAACAACACCTCAGGGCTTTTTCAGATACCGAGACGCTTCCTGGAAACAGGGCTGAAACAGAGGGGATTATGGGTAATGCTGCAATGATCTGTTTGGTGTTTCAGCCAATCAGAGACAGGTTCTGTATATATCTGAGACCTGTGATATATTGATGAGAAACAGAATAATTGGGGAGCTTTAATGCTATCAAAAGTGCAATTTGTTACATGCAACATATGTGTAAATATTATTCTGATTGTGATATTGTGCAGCTGTAAAGATATCCCCGCCTACAAATCATATTCGGCGCAGTTATTGAATGATCTATGTTTGGTACAGATCCTTTTATAATCCCTCCTATGTCACGATATCAGTCTGTTTTCTATTCTTTCCACATCTTGCAGCCCTAATTCTAGCAGATTTCTATCTTAAAATAATCTGTTTTCTGTCGTTGTTTCTGCTGTTTCTGAAAACATGTTTTTTGTATCTGTGTCCTGCGATAGGTCACGATCAAATACTCCAAACTGGGTCTGGAAGATTTCGACTTCAAACATTACAACAGGACGTTGTTCGCCGGCCTCGAGCCGCACATCCCCAACGCCTACTGCAACTGCATGATCCAGGTGAGACGAGTATTCACTCGTTAATATACAATAGCAGGGACTCCAGATAACTAAGATGATTGAAGAGTTCACTTCACTTCATTAACCTGTTAAGCTCCGAGCCTGTTTTTCAGGTCTCAGGCTCGAAAATGACATTCCCAGAACAAATGACCATATCTTCCCTTCTAAAAGGGTTAAATTAATAATCTGTTTTCTCAAAGTAATGATAAACCTGTGAGTTTGATGTAGAAAAGTCAGAATCAATATAGATGTTTTTTATTTTAAAGAAAATTCAGATTTTACATAGTAAAAAACTGTAAATTATAGTGTCCGTCCAAAAATTCTTTTTTACTTATAGTGAAAACTACCCCTGGATGATGGGTTAGTAGACTAAAAGCTTTAGGAATCCAAAGTACAACATATAATAAGTACCCTGTATCAAGATTGATGCAAAACAAGTGACATTTGACCTTTTTAGAGAGGTTTAGCCAAAACCACCCCACCTCTGAGGTGATTTGGGTGAAAATGGGTTTTTTTCCATCTCTGGCCCCCCTTGCTCGATTTTGATGGTTGACACCTCTTTCTGACCGTTAGAGCCAATAGAATTGAAGGGGGAGTCCCCCACACACACACGTTGTGAAGAGAAACGGTGGGGGCTTCGCGCATGCAGGTTTGCACCAGAGTGAAGCGATCTCTCGCTCTGACATTTGGAAATGAAAAAGCAGTTTTATTGCTTATGGATTATCAGAAATCATTTCAAAGAGGACACAGACACATTGGATTAACCTATGGATTAACTGCAGCATCGTTTTTTATCGTTTTAATGCCATTGAAGACCAGTTTTGACCAAGGTAAGCCATGTTAGCGTTTGTAGCTACCTAGCGCCACATGTTTTGATGTACGTTTTCGTTTATAGCGTCGCAAATGTTTATCACTGAGTGTTGAGGTGGGCACCCCTAGATTCAGTGTCTCCAGGAGATGCTAATCGAGGGGTTGGCTGTGCATCTAGGATAAGTAATAAGGGAGTTACGAGTGAGTTTAGGTGCAGTGATAGGTTAGCATTTTTCCGCTCGTGGCTAATTCAGAGGCTGAGTGCTAGCATTGTGGGTTTTTTTTGGGGAAAAAAATTAAAAAGATCAGTTAGCTGAGTTTCTTCCCATTACATGGATATAAAACATTCATAGTTTATTAAATATTAAGATTCCTTAGACGTTGTTTCCTGCAAATGACGCGTTTATCCGCCCGGTACCGGGGGGGCGGTGCGTAACAGGTTAACAGTCAAAGTCAACTTTATTGAAGAATTCCACGTGTTATACATCCAGAGAATTCAAAATACCGTTTCTCGCAGTCCCACAGTGTGACAGATATACATATAACACAAAAAGGACCTAGATACAAGGGGTATACAAACTAAGTAGTAAGTAGTAATAAGTACGTTTAAAGTGGACCTATCATGCTATATTTGAATAATATAGTGTAGGACCATACCTATATAAGGCATATTTATACTTTTTTTTTTTCAAAATACCAAACAGATCATGCATTTTAGCCATGCCTCATTTCGCTCAATTTGAAAATGTCTAGCTCTGGGCTGATTCTGTGAGAACAGCACCATCTACAGGCCTGGCATATGTACTACAGCGTCTCCAGTGCTTTCGAACGGCAATGGCCGTGGCTGTCTCCTCCTGATTGGTGGAGTTGGCCCAATAGCCGTAGCGCCACCGTCCTGACGTCAGGACAGTGTTCAAATCTGGATCAGTTTTTATCAGATCCGTTGCAGCCCCTTTTTTAGAGATTTGGGTATGGAGGAAAATAGAGAGGGTTGTGTTTTCTGACACTTGGTGAGTTCCCTGGAACACCGGGGACACATATTCATGTAGAAAAGACGTACAAAAGTGCATTTTGCATGATAGGTCCCCTTTAAGCAAAACAATTTTTTTGGCGGGGCTCCGTTGGCGGGGCTCCGTTGGCGGGGCTCCGTTGGCAGGGCTCCGTTGGCGGGGCTCCGTTGGCGGGGCGCAGCTCCCCTCCAAGACAATGGTAGGGGAAACGCTGCTGTGTTAACTGGTCTTGTTGTATAAACCTGTAAATGTTTAGAACTCAAGTTGTCTTGTTTGTTTTCTCTTCCAGGTGCTGTACTTCCTGGAGCCGATCCGCTGCCTGGTTCAGAACCATCTGTGTCAGAAGGAGTTCTGTCTGGCCTGTGAGCTCGGGTTCCTGTTCCACATGCTGGACCTGTCCAGAGGAGACCCCTGCCAGGTACTAAGGCTGCTGGTTGTTGTTGTTGTTGTTGTTGCTGCATGTTAGGAAGAGGGGGAATAATAATAACTGACACGTATTCATGAGAAAAGATCCATGTCTTTGTGCATGTGTGTATTTGTACCAGGGATGGAAGAAGTACTCAGATCTTGTACTTGAGTAAAAGTAGAAGTACTCAGATCTTGTACTTGAGTAAAAGTAGAAGTACTCAGATCTTGTACTTGAGTAAAAGTAGAAGTACTCAGATCTTGTACTTGAGTAAAAGTAGAAGTACTCAGATCTTGTACTTGAGTAAAAGTAGAAGTACTCAGATCTTGTTCTTGAGTAAAAGTAGAAGTACTCAGATCTTGTACTTGAGTAAAAGTAGAAGTACTCAGATCTTGTACTTGAGTAAAAGTAGAAGTACTCAGGTCTTGTACTTGAGTAAAAGTAGAAGTACCAGAGTGTAGGAATACTCTGTTACAGTAAAAGTCCTGCATTCAAAATGTTCCTCAAGTAAAAGTACAGAAGTATTCTCATCAAAATATAGTGAAAGTAGCGACAGTGAAAGTAGTCATTGTGCAGATTGGTCCATTTCAGAATAATATATATGATATGTTTTATAATGATTGATCATTACACCACTGACTGTATAGATATAATAACAGAGTGGTATTATTATTAAAGGGTCTCCTTCTCCCCCCCCCCCCCCCTCTCTCCAGGCGAGTAACTTCCTGCGGGCGTTTCGCACGATCCCCGAGGCGTCGGCGCTCGGTCTGATCCTCGCCGACTCAGACGAGCAGACGGGGAAAGCTCGACTGGGCCGTTTGATCCAGAGCTGGAACCGTTTCATCCTGACGCAGCTGCACCAGGAGACCCAGGAGCAGGAGGGGCCGCAGGCGTACCGGGGGGCCAGCAGCAGGTGGGGGGGGGGCGTTATCATTATAATATACATGAGGTATTTTCTCATAAATCGACTTAAAAAATTGCTTAAAACACAATTTTAACTACTACAAATTAGTTTTTTCTCTGGCTTCAACACCTCCGCACCGGCCCTTTAATTTGATTATTTATTAATTAATTAGTTGTCCTCTAATGGCTCTCACCTGTCCGCCTGGAGGCTTTCAGAAACATGTTTATTGGGCTCCTCGGGGAGGTATGTGAGGTATTTATCTGTTTTAAAGGGGACCTATCATATAATATAAAATGCACTTTTTGATGTCTTGTATACATCACCATGTGTCCCCGGTGTGTCAGGGAACTCACGCAGCGTCAGAAAATAAACCCCTCTCTATTTTCCTCCGTACCCAAATCTCTAAAAACGGGGCTACAACGGAGCTGATCCAGATTTGTGTCCGATATTATGTAATATCTGAAATGTGGACCCACGGCCCTATCAGAGACGTTGCTATCAGAAACAATGCCCGACTGTTTTGGACGTAATATGGTCGGTGTTTACATTAGCATCGCTAACACTCAGAGCTAACCTGTACTGGAGAGCATGTGTGTGAAGAAGCAGGAAATAAAAAGGAACTCACCTTGTGGTATAACCGGCAAGAGAGAAAGCCTTTGAGCTCCATACTGTTTCAGAGATAATCCTTGATAATCCATGATATGGAGTTTAATCCCCCCAGTATTTAGTTTAGACAGTAGCTGCCGGGTCCCGCATAAGCTCCGCCCCTCCTTTTTTATTTTTTAAAGCTTTATACCCAGAATCAGCACTTTTGAAACAGGAAGTGAAATAGAGGGATATGAGGCATGGCTAGAATGGGTGGTCTGTTTGGTATTTTGAGCAAAACACTTCATAGACATGGTTTTTATATTGCTTAAAAATAGCATGATAGGTGACCTTTAATATATGTTATTTAATGACCTGTGTTTGTTTATGTTGTTTATTTATCTGTGTTTGTTTACCTGTGTTTGTTTACCTGTGTTTGTTTGTAAGCAGCTCTCTGGGCTCCTCGGGGGAGTCGGCCATCGGGAAGCTGTTCGGCTGCGAGGTGGAGAACAGCAGTCTGTGTCGCTGCGGGAAGGAAACGGTGCGGACGTCCCTCTCTCTCCTCTTCACCGTGCACTACCCTGAACACAACTCCACCGGTGAGTTCAGGGACCGCTGGGACAAAACAGAATGAATAGAAATTCAGAAAAAAATTGAACAATTATAAATCGAATAATTATAGGGTGCTTTTTAAGGTAGGGAAAGACACTTTACATTTACAGACACATTGACAAATAAAGATAACAATTATTTCTATGAAGAGTTTAAAGTAGAAAATGTAATAAGACATTCACTATGAACAAAAGCAGCAAGTAAATACATGTGTAACTATTAAACAAAGCAGTATATAGCTCCGTCAGTTAGTGCGTGTTGATCTGAATCCCTCTCCTCCTCCTCAGATAAAGCGATGAAGGAATACGACTTTGCGGAGATCTTGAAGAGGAGCATCTGTTTGGAGCAGAGCACGCAGGCCTGGTGTGAGAACTGTGAGAAGTACCAGCCCACAGTGAGTATCCCTCCTCATATATATATATAGATATATACATTGTTATGCAGAGATAGCAAAGGTACACACATCCTGTACTCAAGTAGAAGTACAGATACTCGTGATTAAAAATACTCTGGTAGAAGTAGAAGTACTGACTAAACTTCTTTACTCAAGTCAAAGTAAAGAGGGCTTTGAAATGTACTTCAGTAAAAAGTACCCATAACTAGCAGCTGTTTTAAAGAGTACCTGACTGGGTATTTGTATTTGTGTTCAACATGTAAGAAGTAGAAAGTACAGGTATTTGTGTTCAACATGTAAGAAGTAGAAAGTACAGGTATTTGTGTTCAAAGTGTAAGAAGTAGAAAGTACAGGTATTTGGGTTCAACATGTAAGAAGTAGAAAGTACAGGTATTTGTGTTCAACATGTAAGAAGTAGAAAGTACAGGTATTTGTGTTCAACATGTGAGAAGTAGAAAGTACAGGTATTTGTGTTCAACATGTAAGAAGTAGAAAGTACAGGTATTTGTGTTCAACATGTAAGAAGTAGAAAGTACAGGTATTTGTGTTCAACATGTAAGAAGTAGAAAGTACAGGTATTTGTGTTCAAAGTGTAAGAAGTAGAAAGTACAGGTATTTGTGTTCAAAGTGTAAGAAGTAGAAAGTACAGGTATTTGTGTTCAACATGTAAGAAGTAGAAAGTACAGGTATTTGTGTTCAACATGTAAGAAGTAGAAAGTACAGGTATTTGTGTTCAACATGTAAGAAGTAGAAAGTACAGGTATTTGTGTTCAACATGTAAGAAGTAGAAAGTACAGGTATTTGTGTTCAACATGTAAGAAGTAGAAAGTACAGGTATTTGGGTTCAACATGTAAGAAGTAGAAAGTACAGGTATTTGTGTTCAACATGTAAGAAGTAGAAAGTACAGGTATTTGTGTTCAACATGTAAGAAGTAGAAAGTACAGGTATTTGTGTTCAACATGTAAGAAGTAGAAAGTACAGGTATTTGTGTTCAACATGTAAGAAGTAGAAAGTACAGGTATTTGTGTTCAACATGTAAGAAGTAGAAAGTACAGGTATTTGGGTTCAACATGTAAGAAGTAGAAAGTACAGGTATTTGTGTTCAACATGTAAGAAGTAGAAAGTACAGGTATTTGTGTTCAACATGTGAGAAGTAGAAAGTACAGGTATTTGTGTTCAAAATGTAAGAAGTAGAAAATACAGGTATTTGTGTTCAACATGTGAGAAGTAGAAAGTACAGGTATTTGTGTTCAACGTGTAAGAAGTAGAAAGTACAGGTATTTGTGTTCAACATGTAAAAGTAAAAAGTCGTCAGAAGAATAAGTATTGGAGTAAAGTACTGATACCAGAAACATGTACTTAAGTACAGTCACTAAGTATTTGTACTCCACTACTTCCCCCCTCTGCTGTTATGTGATTGAAACACACATGCGTTATGAGAGTGTGTGTGTTGCGTTCAGGTTCAGACGCGAAACATCCGCTGTCTTCCCGACGTCCTCGTCATCAACTGTGAGGTGAACAGCGCCAAGGAGGCCGAGTTCTGGAAGGTGCAGGCGGAGGTACAAACATCATCTCTGCTTTTATTTATTCATATTTTTACTTTCTCAGATTCAGTTTTATTGTACAGACATATTCACATTTTATTCAACAGTGTTTCTTTAAACGTATAGAGAGAAAACATTAAAGAAATTAGTACAAGATAGAAAAAAGAAAATCCCAAAATGATAAATATATGAAAAAATAAAAACATTAATGCAATTAAATAACAATTATTTAAAAAAATATGTTTTAATTAAAAGCTGACTTTTTAAATGTAACAGTAATCTGCAGTCAGTTTGAATCCAAACTAATGTGTGTGTCCTCTTGTCTCCACAGTACGCCTTCAACAAGGCGAAGCAGAAGGAGAAGGAGAAGCAGGCGATGGAGCCTCCGAAGCCCAAAGAGCCGCCTCCGCCCATGCCCACCGAGTGGTGCTTAGAGTGAGACCTGGTTCATCTGCTACTGGTGTTAGTGGGGGGGGGGGTTCAGAGTGAAACACACCGTGACACCACAGGAGGGACAACGATAACACCAGAGCAGCACATCTTTATGTTTCAGAGGAAATCATTTTCACATTTGGCAAAAACTAATGATTTGAAGATATAATGGATTATTGATTATGGTTCAAATGATTTTGTCTGACTATTACTAATGAACTAATTGTTTATGGCCTTCATTAACCCACATATGATTTTTCTTGAACAGCAACAGGCTATCAGGCATTGCAGATTATTTACAAATAAAAACTGAAAGCATAGAGCGGTGCAGGGAGGACGTATTCACCCTGAAGTAAGCTGCTCGTTCCCTCCACAGAAAGCAACGGGATCTCTCCAGAGGATTTAGGAAAATAGCTGGAAATAATGTCTGTGGAAAACGAACCTGTTTGATAAATGCACGTTTTGTTCAGCCGGATAATCTCCACATGTCTACCCTACTTTTATAATGTTCAAATCATAAATCTAATGTCCAGAAGCAAAATGCTAACGTTATGCTATAAAGGAACTACAGGCGAGTCCAGCAGCACGACTTCAACGTCACGCCAACTTCAGATCCATATTCAAACACACAGATTCTAAATGGTACGAGTTGAAGTGTTTGTTTGAACAGTTAGCAGGAGGCAGGTACTTGCTTTCAAGCAGAACAGGGCAAACAAACTTAGAGGAGTGTTCACGTGTTCGGCGTAATGACGTACAACGTCCTCCACGACTTCTGTAGTCCTATTCAGCCACTTGGTAACAACCATCGTTTTTCAGACACGTCAACTCTTCAGAAATCACCAGTGGGGTCACTGCTGATGGATTTAATGTCCTAGAACAAAACGTGATCCGTCTCTTCAATGTGTCTCAACCACAGACCTTATTTACAGATATTTTCCTAAACCCTATGGAGAGATCCCATTGGCTCTGAGACCAGGGAACAGGAAGTGGAGAAATGCTGACTCACTTCCTGGTTTTAGGACTCGTCACTGCACCACTCTATACATAGCATATAACAGTAGAAGGATATATATCTATTATAAGCGCTTTGAGAACCAGCTAAAGCGCTATATAAATCAAATATAAAGCAATAAGTTCAAACACACTAAACAACACGACACCACAGAAACCAAAAACAATGTCAAATGTACACAATATAAGTTTGTCTGCAAAGAAGTTGCATTTCTTTTCAATAATTTAAATGTAAACACGTGACTGAATGTCCCCTGGCGTGCAGCGGGGAGGACCCGAGCAGCATGGCGGGATTCACCTTCGACACGAAGGCCGAAGACCTGAGACACGTCTGGATCCCTCAGAGCCTCAAGATGCAGATCAGCAAAACCCAGGGGTTAGAGGTCAGCAGCTGGCCGGAAGGAGAGGAGGTAACACTCACATTCAGTTGTATTTTATTCATTGTATTGATATTTCTTTTGGTGTTGGTTCTTTGTACGTTGTGTCTGGTGTTAGCGATGTAAAAGCAGCTAACGAGTCGTCCCCCCCCCCTCCTCTCTACAGCTGAGCTCAGCGGAGGAGGAGGAGGGAGCCTCCGTCTACGACCTGGTGGTCACGGTGCCTCACATCCTGGACGCCCGGACGGGGGGCAATCTGGTGGCTCACATCAAAGTGGGGGAGACGTACCACGTGAGGAAAGAGGTGAGGAAACACACCCAGTACCAGAGACACACCCAGTACCAGAGACACACCCAGTACCAGAGACACACCCAGAGACACACCCAGAGACACACCCAGTACCCGAGACACACCCAGTACCAGAGACACACCCAGAGACACACCCAGTACCAGAGACACACCCAGTACCAGAGACACACCCAGTACCAGAGACACACCCAGAGACACACCCAGTACCAGAGACACACCCAGTACCAGAGACACACCCAGTACCAGAGACACACCCAGAGACACACCAGAGACACACCCAGTACCAGAGACACACCCAGAGACACACCCAGAGACACACCCAGTACCAGACACACACCCAGTACCAGAGACACACCCAGTACCAGATACACACCCAGTACCAGACACACACCCAGTACCAGAGACACACCCAGTACCAGAGACACACCCAGAGACACACCCAGAGACACACCCAGAGACACACCAGAGACACACCCAGTACCAGAGACACACCCAGAGACACACCAGAGACACACCCAGAGACACACCAGAGACACACCCAGAGACACACCCAGAGACACACCCAGTACCAGAGACACACCCAGAGACACACCCAGAGACACACCCAGAGACACACCCAGTACCAGAGACACACCCATAGACACACCCAGAGACACACCAGAGACACACCAGATACACACCCAGAGACACACCAGAGACACACCCAGAGACACACCCAGTACCAGAGACACACCCATAGACACACCCAGAGACACACCAGATACACACCCAGATACACACCCAGATACACACCCAGAGACACACCAGATACACACCCAGAGACACACCCAGTACCAGAGACACACCAGAGACACACCCAGAGACACACCCAGTACCAGAGACACACCCAGAGACACACCCAGTACCAGAGACACACCCAGTACCAGAGACACACCCAGAGACACACCCAGAGACACACCAGAGACACACCCAGTACCAGAGACACACCAGAGACACACCCAGAGACACACCCAGAGACACACCCAGAGACACACCAGATACACACCAGAGACACACCAGAGACACACCAGAGACACACCAGAGACACACCAGAGACACACCAGAGACACACCAGAGACACACCAGAGACACACCCAGTACCAGAGACACACCAGAGACACACCCAGAGACACACCCAGAGACACACCAGAGACACACCAGAGACACACCCAGTACCAGAGACACACCAGAGACACACCCAGAGACACACCCAGAGACACACCCAGAGACACACCAGATACACACCAGAGACACACCAGATACACACCAGAGACACACCAGAGACACACCAGAGACACACCAGAGACACACCAGAGACACACCAGATACACACCAGAGACACACCAGAGACACACCAGAGACACACCAGATACACACCAGAGACACACCAGAGACACACCAGAGACACACCCAGTACCAGAGACACACCAGAGACACACCCAGAGACACACCCAGAGACACACCAGAGACACACCAGAGACACACCCAGTACCAGAGACACACCCAGTACCAGAGACACACCCAGAGACACACCCAGTACCAGAGACACACCCAGAGACACACCCAGTACCAGAGACACACCCAGTACCAGAGACACACCCAGTACCAGAGACACACCCAGTACCAGAGACACACCCAGAGACACACCCAGTACCAGAGACACACCCAGTACCAGAGACACATTTAAACTGGTAAACTGACCTGTAAAATGATGTTTCAGGGAGTCACTCATCAGCAGTGGTACCTCTTCAATGACTTCCTGATCGAACCGATTGATAAGGTAAATATTTAATTATATTCATGCTGATATCATGTTTGCAGGTAAAAGAGTGATTTATTATGGAGGAGAAGGGGGTTGGAGATTAAAGTGGAAAATGTCCCAAGAAACCTTCATTTGTACTTCTTTCTGAGATAATTAAGTCATACATTTGTGAGGAATTAATGGAGTATGTTTATAAATATTGAATTTATTTATGTATTCATTTTATTATTTAATTTTACCTTAATTATTCTACAGCAGCCTGTAATACTCCATCTCATCTGGCAGTAAACTTGTATCTGTATTCCCTGTGTGTCTCAGCTGGAAGCGGCTCAGTTTGATGTCAGCTGGAAGGTCCCCGGCCTGCTGTACTACGCCAAGAGGAACCACCACCCCAAATACGACCTGAGGAGTAAGACCTGCACACCTGCAGACGATAACACCTGTAGACGATAACACCTGTAGACGATAACACCTGCAGACTTTAAACAGACGATAACACCTGCAGACGATAACACCTGCAGACGATAACACCTGCAGACGTTAACACCTGCAGACGATAACACCTGCAGACGATAACACCTGCAGACGTTAACACCTGCAGACGATAACACCTGCAGACGATAACACCTGCAGACGTTAACACCTGCAGACGACGCAGACGTTAACACCTGCAGACTTTAAACAGACGTTAACACCTGCAGACGACGCAGACGTTAACACCTGCAGATGTTAAACAGACGTTAACACCTGCAGACGACGCAGACGTTAACACCTGCAGACATTAAACAGACGTTAACACCTGCAGACGACGCAGACGTTAACACCTGCAGACTTTAAACAGACGTTAACACCTGCAGACGTT